GATATAAGGAAATAAATAATAACTTTATTATTGCCTCTAGGGCATATTTCCTTCACTGGGTCCGGTCTTCGTTCGTCTACGTATGTGTGTTTGGAGGTTGGATCCTTCCGATAGACGCTTCTCTTCATTGGCGACGGTTGATGTTCTAGTGCGCTGGTCCTATGGAGTCATAGCACAACAACTTTCCAACTGTCTACTACAACAATGTTTGCCTGGCTCCGACGAGGGAGGGGCGATGATGGTGGCGCGCCTTCGGCTCCCTCAAGTGCTTGTAGTCGTCCGTAAGTGGTCTACGGAGCCGGAAGTAAATTTCACTTCTGATGTTCTTTGTACTACCTTCACAGTTGATGAATAGATCGGAAGTTTTCTCACAAAAAAGAGTAGAGGCTAACGCACGCTTCGCCATGCCTTTCTTCGCAAGTGGGATTAAGTATTTTTTATAGCATGTTATTGTGGTCAATTGTTTCATTTGGGTTTTATCCTCATTGGTTGGATTTTAGTTATGTTAGGTATTGTTTTCATTCGTATATCATGTTGTGGTGCTATAGACATGATACTAGCAGGTAGTGTGCGGCGGCACGCTGCACATTGGTGCTTGGTTCGAGACTTATTTTTCATGAGTTTTTGAGAATCTGTTGCGTGTTCATATGCACGAGTAAATCTTTGCAGCGGTGAAGAAAGTTGATGTGCCCTAGTTCATGTGGGTCTCTTTGAATTTGAAGGCACGAAGAGACATAGAAAAAAAAATAGTCTCTTTGAATTTGAAAGCATGAAGAAACATAGAAAATGGACATGCCTTTGTTCATGCAATCTTTTCAATTTAACTTTCATCCTATTTTGTAAAGGAATTACGAATTTAGATCTAAACAAGAACAATTGTTATCAAGCTGTCTTTTTGGACTGGAAGGCATGAACACATAGTGAGAAAAAATAGCAGTACATATCAATTTGCATGACCAAATATTAATTTACCTCTCAAATATTAGTTGGGCTACATTTCACATTCAATAGAAAAATCAGAAAAATTGTTTGAAAAGTTTCAATAGCACGCATTCACTAAAATAATGAATACAAAGATGTATCCTTTAACATGGTTAATTAATTTTGATCCTTTTGGATGTATCATTTGCTTCATGCTGCCCAAAAACAATTGATTAGCTAGGCGACTTGGGCCTAATCCGACCAATACGGTGTGACAGACACTTGCAGACAACTGTGCAATGCCCATCTCACTATCTCCCTCCTATTTTCCGTCCTTTCTCCTGTTATTGGAGCGAGACATCGGCTAATCCGTGCATTTGTACCCTACTCGGCCTACTTTCGACAACACCTATAAATTAATACCAAGCAAATACAACACTATTTATCGACATTGCACTATCTTTCTTATGCCGGCCAAATACAACACTAATTTTATTGAATACAAAAGGATCACACTATTTGCGTTACTGAGAAACACTACAAATATATATGCTTTGCTGAAGCAGTCTACCAATTGCATTGCTTCATCAAATTTTGTACTTCCATGGTCCAACAAAATCAAAGTGTGAACTCTCATGACTATTACACAAGAGAACAAATGAGGCTGTTGCTGCTTCTTCACATAAAAGATCATAAATAAGATAACAAGGCATACACTGCAAGGAACAAGGCAGAACCTTCCAGCACAGCCGTGATTCCGTCGACGGTGACGGCAGCGGTCCCTGGTAACGTACCTGATTTTTGCCAGTTCCAAGAGAACGTTGCTGTTGCTGTTGCCGTTGGATGGACGCGTGCGAATCTTGGTGCATGGTACGTTGCCACGTCGCATGAGGCTGAACACGTCGCAAGGAAAGTGAGAGAGAGTGTGGACGAGAGGGATCCAACACATCCTCCCCAAATCATTTCTCTAGTGGCTGACCGCATCACCCACTCTCCTCCCTCGCGCGTGCTCGTGCTTGCCGGTGCAGACGCTCTCCTGAGACCCGACTTGCCGGAGTCCCGCCGGCAGCCGACGCCCTCCTCCTTATTCGTGCTCTCGGCCGCAAGAGACTGAACTATCCCAGAGACCCAAGCCAAGACCGCAGGCGTCGCCTACGATCTCGACGAGATCCTGGCTCGTGCGGAAGGAGGCGGCCGGTCAAGGCCGTCGCTGCAGCAACAGAGCCTGCGCTGGCCCGCCGGCTCGATGGGGGATGCGGAGGTTATGGGATTTGCGGAGCGCACCAGCGCGACCTCTGCCGGATCTGGCGCCCAGGCGCGGTAGTCGACGTGGCGGTGCTTGCGGGGGAGCAGGGGATTTTGAAGCTGGAGGTGGACGGGGAGATGAACACGGTCTGCTCCCGTGCACCCGGTGTCTTGCTCTTCTCGCGCCACAGTATTGACCAAGAGGATCACGTGGGAGGCCTCTGTCACGCAGACGTCCCGTGCCCGATGGACGGCGACCTTCCGGCTGAAACATCTTCCTCATGGAGCTATAGACGCGGTGCATCGGTGAGTAGCTTTTGCCTTTGCTCAATTCCTATTCAGTGCAGGCTATGTTTTTGCAAGTTTTGACTCAGTGGGCAGTAGTGTGTGCCTGAGCAAGTTGATCTGCTTTCAATTGGTGGCTGGTTTCATGCGTGTTCGTGTTTTCTTGGGTAATATATAAATTTTTATTTGTCAAAATTTCTTCGAGTCGTAGCAGCCGTCATTGGCTTACCCAAAGGGAAAGAAAATAAGATCTTCAATGAATGCCAACGAAAAAATATATTTAAGTTAAGTCTGAATATAACATGCCTTAAAAAATCAATCCTCACATACTGAAAGTGGATAGAAAATGTGTGCTTAGTTTCTTTGATTGACCTTTAGTACAATATACTGGTAGAAATTAACAAAATAACATTTAGTGGAATGAGAGCCCCTGCCTAGCTTAGTAAATCCACTAATGTACTTCACATAGAAATTTACAATTCTGAACTTCGTTTTAAATATTTATAGACCCTTCTAATCTGAATGAACTGCAATTAATTTGAGGTATTTAAAAAAACTATGTATATAAAAGATTAACATGAAAAATATAAACAATTGGTTTGAATCCTAACTAATGACAAACTTGATCATCTCAGACTAAGGGTTCAAATGTGGATATTTCTGCATCAGAACGATGAGCTGCCTGATATAGAAACTGGACAGTGTACTCCTGTAGGGATCCTCCGCTCTCCTCTTCAGATACTTGATGCAGCTCTCCACTTCAGATTTGACATGCAAATAGAGGTGCTGGGCCTTCTCTTTGTCTCTTAACTCCTTCCTACCTATGCAAACAAGTAAACCAATCGAAACAAAAGAAGCAAACCTAATCAGACATGGGCTCTCCGAAATACGTATGCATTCTGACTCATTTTTCGATTATCTAAAAAGGATAACAGGGCAGCGTATGTTGACTTGCCATGAGAACATGTAGATATCTTTTCAGATTACTATTTGCTAGCGCAGCTGGCTACCTTTTGTTTAAGTAGGCTCCCCAAAGATGAAGTAAAATCTTCCTGACATTTTTGGCGTCAGCACTGCAGGATGCATATCTTTATCAGTTTTGCTAAAGCACATCTAGATTGTTGTCAGTTTAGCTTTAGGCCCTCTTCATTTAGCTTGTTGTCATTGATTTCATAAAATTGGAGCCCCGGAAGATCACTGTAGTCTAACAACATTTGAGGTGAAAAACATTGTTTCTAGACATTAGATAATCAAGGGGATAACATAGTAAGCTAACATACTTTTTGAGGTTCCACTTACACCACATATATCGTCTTCTCCAACCAATCCAAATGGTATTATTGTTGCTCCAAACCTTGATGCCATCTGCAGAAATTCAGACTACTCAAGGCCAAAATAGCTTGTATTCGTATGCCTGTAAACAACTATGTCACCTTCCAGAACAATTGATGTTTTTACGGTCTACAAAGATATATTATGATCTCTATACCAAATTCTTGCCTTCCTATAAAGAACCAACCAGTAGTAAAATACGAACGATACAAAACATCCACATCAGATGCAACTCTTAACAGCAACATGACAAGGATCAATTAATCCGCATAGTGCTGGCCGAACATTCCTTCCAACTGCATGAGTCAACAGATCATCTAAAAAGTGCTAAATATGAAATCAAAAGAGAGTGAAAAAAGAAACCAAACAGACAACAATATTTTGTAAAAAAAAAATCAAGCAAGCCAAACACTCACCAGACGATGAATCTACTGGATGTTTCCCACGACGAATTTCTTGGCGTTCCTGCCACCGCCGACCCGCCTCACCGGCCCTCGGATCTAAAAACGCACAACATCATGAATACAACAAAAAGATCGCCAAAATCATCCCTGGCTGAAAAAAAGTCTAGAAAGAGCAGAACTCACCAAGCACAGAACCCAATCGACTTGAACCTTTCCCAACCTGCCAAGTCCACAAATTCAGATTCTCAAAGCCAGCTTCGAACTCACCTGGCGATTTGATAAGCGTTTGGCACGTTCTGGGCTTCTGGCTTCTCCCAGCGAGAGAGACTCCTGGACTGATGGGCATGTGTAGACCGGCTGGAAGCAGCCCAAATTAGAGGACGAGGTGGGCTCCGGCAAGGTGAGCACCGACGTCCATGCCGTCGGGGCTGGTGGCGTTTCCAGCCGGCGAGGAGGCTGCATGCCTGCATCAGGCCTGGTTGTGGGGACCAGGGGCGAATCCACGTACAGCACAGTGGGGGCGACTGCCCCCACTCGATTTTTTGGCCCATTTGTACTAGGCCCATATCATACAGAGTTGCCCCCACTCAGCCCGCAGTGTTTGCCCCCGCTCAGCTTACTTTTTTCTGCTTATTTTCCTTTCGCCCATGTATGGGAAACAAGGACTCAGCCCATCAAGCCTGCTAAGCAGCCTAGCAGAACTTACGTAATAACTAGGAAACGTGAGATCTGTTCTTAAAAAAGAGAGGAAATGTGAGATCTTCTGGAAAACAAAATTAGGAAATGTTTAGACGGAGATGCGACCCAGCCGCCATGCTGCCTGCAGCCCTGCCTAGCCATGCCCTCGCCAGATCACCTCCGGCGACCGGCCTGGCCGCCCGCCATGCACGCCGGCCAGCCGGCCGGCTTGCGACTAATTCTTTTAGTCCTTTCAACTTTAAAGATCGCTGCCTCTGCGGGGATCTCCGTGCTATTGATGCAACACCAATGAGGTAAGTATTAGGGTTCTTCATCAGTTCCTCTTTCTTATTTTCTGTTATAATTTCTAAATTCTTGTTCCTTTCCTATTTCTTTGTTAAGAACAAAGTGGGCGAACATTTTGTGAGCCATAGCCTTATTTGCTTGATAGACAAGAAATCTTAATGAGTGATAGTTCTTTCAGGGATAGTGATGTGATAGTTAAAACATGAAAGATCGTTGTCGGAGGAAAGAAAAAGGTAATGTGGTAAAACATTTTCTTATTTGTCAATGTTTTTTATGTTGCATTATGTCTTAATTTTAGCTTCGTTTTTGTATAACTTTTGGGCTAGAAAAATTATCCAGGAAGATAGGTGATTTCTTTTGCAATTTAGGAACACAAATATCAATATATCTCAGGTCATTTTGTCTAAAGTGATTAGTTTACCTTGACTTTTGCTATGAAATAGACTTTGTTTTTTGTGGTGGAATTATCTTAATAAAACATATTATTTTTCGGTGTTGCTTCTTATTCACTATATACAATATGGTTGTGTGTGGTCAATCTTTGTAAATGTTCTGGCTATAAGCTTATATACATCTTTGCCCCCTCTCAATTTTAATCCTGGCTCCGCCCCTGGTGGGGACTGTGTCGCGGGGGTATGCCGTCGGGATCCGGCGGGGATGCGCCTGGAACGGCCGGATCCGGCACCGAAGAGGAGCGTCGGTCGGCGACGTGGTGGAGCTAGCCATGAGGATGGGCCTGGCGGCGGCGGATAGGGTTAGACGTAGCCCAGACCAAACGACCAAACGAACAGGAAGAACGCACAAAAGGAGGGCCGTGAACGAACACCAGGCAAACAAGTACTTATAGGGAGCCAAAAGAAAAGAAAAAACAAAAACGAAGCCCACCAGAAAGGTCCAGAAGGCAACGTGTCCATGGGTAAACTGCTAGTCAACTACACGTGAGACAAACGTGGCAACATGCATGGTCATGCGGCATGGAGCAGAACCAACGCACGAAATCTAGAAGGGTCATGTGAACTGGCCCAGCGACATGCATGCCCATGCAGGGACACGTGGAACATAGCAAACCCAAAAAATCTGAAACGGGCACGTCAATTTGACCATGCAAACGGGCCAGTCAAATAAATATTTTAAAAAAGAAAGGAGCTCTCCCTTACGATGGGCTGCAGACGTAGAGATAGACAAGGGCTGCACACGTGTCGGTAAAAAAAAATTCCAAAAAAACCAGAAAAAAGGAACCCTTACGGGCTTAGTCTTCTTAGTATTTGTTCTGAGAGGAGAGTTGAGTTGTTCAGTGTGTGGTTGTGGTGCCCCTACACATTTCAGCCTCATTGTCAGCTGGTGGTTGGTGTGTGAGCCCCTCCTATTCCATGCTAAAACCGTTGAAGGCCAACCCACAGAGCTCTCGCTCCCTCAACTAGATTCCCACTCCCCTCACTAGCATAATATTTCTTTCGCTCTCTCCACTGCTATCTTGTAAGAAGGTGACGATCTCTTTTTATTTGAAAACGTTTGTTAAATCAAAAGAAGCTCTTGGATTTTTTTTAAATTTTGCAAACTAAAACATCCATTTTTTAAATTGTTCATGCATTTCAAAAAATATTTATAAATCAAAATAAAGTTAATATATTTTAAAAAATGCTTGTGAACTAATATTCATGAATTAAAAAAATCATGAACTTAAAAAATATTCAGTGCTCTAAAGAATGTTCTCAATTTTTTAAAACATTCACAATTTTAATGAATGTCCATGAGTAAAAATGTTTAAAAAATAAAGTAGAAAAGCAAGGAAACCAAAAAAAGGATAAGTAATAAAAAGACAGGAACCCTTGACCAACGGACACACATCCTTACAGGTGGGCCCCCTACAACCCCCGAGGAGGCTCCAAATCTAGGGAGCAAATGCACTTGTATTACTAATCTCGACCAAAGAGTGCTTAGTTGTATAAAATATTAAAAATAATAATTTGGTTGGCAATATTTTTGTATTTTCTGAATAAATAATAAATGAAAATAAAAGTGCAAATACAACTTGCTGGAGGTGCTTTCTTATAGTAAAAGATAGCCGAAGTTCATATGTTCATCTTGGGTAAGTCTCCATAAGATAAAATGTGCAACAAGTATCATAGTCATGTGAAAAGGAGAATGAAATATTTTGTGCTCATCCTAGATTGTGTGCAATGTGTCGATGGTATAGATGCAATACTTCCATAAATCTATTGACCGAGACCCTTTCTACATCTATACTTCATAATTCACTCTTTGATTGAGATTCTCTCTGCATCATCCAAGTATTAAGTACAAAACAAATAATTTCCTTAAGCAAGAGGACATACTGTTGTTTGTATGATTTCATTATAAGCCTCATACAAACATTTTTCCTTGGTGACAATAATTCAATGCAAGCCTTTTCCATTTGCTATGCATGTAGTCGTAAATTATTTGTTAGATTAATTTATGTAGGCAAAACATGCCATCTCATGAACCCATGCAGGTGTTTTAGGAACTTAGTCATGCAAATATCTTTACATTAATTTTAGCACTTATTATGCATTTTTAATAATACCCCCGCAGCAACATGCGGGATATCATCTAGTATAAAGGAATATTTACACTAGAAAAAAATTGTTATGGAACAGTATGGAAAATAACCTCTCCTCACTCCAAACCCTAGAGAGAAGATTTTCTGGGAGCACCGTGCCACTACCTCTCCCCCGCTGCCGCCGTCCGTTTGGGATTCTAGGGAGACACCAATATACCGAATGGAGCTATAGTTTCCTCTGCTTTGGGGCTTTTAGTAGGGTTATTAAGATGTAGTGCTTTGTTGGTGGTAACGACAGCTTTTAGTAGGGTTATAGCATTTTGAAATAAATTCTACTTTTCTTACATAGTTCAAACCACTTGTTAACTCACGATTGCGCATGTTCAAAGTTTCAAACATCCTTTTGCTTTTCAAATTGCGTAGATTCCCTTCGGCTTCTCTAGATAGTAAGTTTAGGGTTTGTAGGGTTTATCGACCTGGTGGCGAGGGCTTCCCTTTGGACTTTGGTCCTCCAGCCTCCTCTCCAACACACTGGTGCAACCTCTGGCGCCGTTGTGAGGCATGTGAGTTGTTTTGAAGGTTGGATCTTGGATATATGGATCTTTCGGTGGCAACAACTTCGACGGTTTCTTCTCAAGTTACTGGTCTGGCTAGAGTGTGGCCTTGATGACTTTCTTCCCATGATTAACAATGAGTGGCTAGCTCCGATGATGGAGAGGCAGTTGTCGCAGTGCACCACAAGTCTGTTCAAGAGGAAGAGGACGATCGGATCCTAGGGATCTCGATGTATTTCATTTATTTTCCGGGGTGTCTATATTTCCTGGTTGGATCAATAGATTTAAGTCCTTTTCGCAAATTATTTTGGAACACTACTATCTAGTATATATATACTCTATTAATGACCCAGGGTGAAGAATTACTTATTCTTCACCCCGGTCGAACAACCCAGCCACTCGCACTCGCACGCAACCTGCCGCCAGTCGAGGTAAGTTTTTTTGTTGCGGGGGCAGCCAAAGTAATTTATCTTTCCTAGCAACTGTTTAGCTAACCCACTCTCCGCAGTTTTTGGAACTGCTGGGAGCAGACGTGCGGCTCGGAGGCGAGCGGCGGGTGGTTTCGGCGGCGAGCCGACGGCAGCCGCGGGTGGAGTCAGATGCGTGCGACGCCGGTGGCGAGCAGCAGCGTCGAGGCGAGCAGCGTTTCGCGGCGTTTGGCAACCTCTTCGGCCGACGGCCGCGCCATGAGCCCACGACCGACCTCCATCCCTCGCTCCCTTCGTCGCCCTGGCGATGGCTCGACCTCCATTTCGATTCCCCGACCACAAGCTCCTGCCCTGGCCTCTCTTCGTCGCGCTGCGCCGGACTCTGCCCCCTCCTTCCTTTTTACATGCACGGTAGCAGGATGGCTCCGATTGGAGTGAGGCTCGCGAGAAGCGACCCCCCACCTACTATCAACCCTCCAGCAAGCTCCGTTAAGATGCCCAGGATCCATGGCTCCGTCTCCTACATGGCACCAACCCATTCCCAGGTTTTCTCGATTTCTCTCTTCCTCTCTCTCCCTCTGTAGGTGTTGTCAACTCGTCATGCATGCGTGTGTGTTCTTATTAGTCATTTTGCTACTAATGCTTAGATCAATTGGCATATTATGCAGGACAAGTATTGTGCAGGAAGCTCCATTACTGCATTAGTAAAGTGATAAAGACAGGAGTCAATTTACATCTTATCTGACCATCTTAGATCTTTCCTTGCTAGCTAGATTTATGATTTAGATTTTCTCTGTGTATAAGTTTATTCTCATTCAGGAATCAGCTACTGTACCACAATAGCAGTTCTGTCATTCTAATTCTCAAAGTATTTTCGAAATCCCATACTCAGCGCTTAATTTCTGTGTATAAGTTTATTCTCATTCAGGAATCAGCTACTGTACCATAATAGCATTTCTTGTTTGAGTATTATTAATCGCTTAATTTATAACATAATTGGAGAATCATCAAACAAGAATTGTTGATTTGATGGTTGCAAACCTAGATTATTCCATTTTTTCAAACCCCATCTAATGTTTCGCATAGGGTTGATAGAAATATCTTGGTCTAAATCTGCATTTGTGAATTCAGTTTCTTCATTTTTATTGGCTTCATGATGCATTTCTGTCAGATCATAGGTATACTACTGTTAGGTGAATTTAATCATCGATTGATCTGCTTTCCATGTCATACAAAACAATAACCTTCTCTTCTTTAGGTTGTGATTTTAAAAATTGTTATAGTGTTGGTTTGAGTTACCCCTGGAATTCTTCATGATGGATGACTGGATGTTTATTTTCCCTTGCTTGCTATCATGCCATGATTCTTGGTCTCGATATGTTCAACTCAAATCATGATCCGGGGGCATCAATTAGGGGTGCATGTACTTCATCTTGGTGATTGTGCAGATGATGGTCATTTACCCATTTTTTATATAGCCCCCTTAATCTTGGCATCGATTAGTGGTGCATGTACTTCATCTTGATGAGGACTAACGACCAAGTCAGACTTCTCTTAGGTGTAATCCAACCAACGGGTTGTGCCTCCGACGTTCCAC